ATGTTTAAAGTGACTCATTGCAATTATTCAGTATATAAAATATGATTTTCCAGTAGTTGTATGGGAAAATTGGTAGTCTTTATGGATATATTAAATTCCAAGTGGATTTCAGGTAGTATAATTTTCTATACTCCTATAAACCTTTTATTTTAAAAAGTCATTGTTACCAGAGGCTTAAATAGCACAAACCTTTTTTTAACCTCTATCAACACCTTGTATACAAACATTTAATCTAGAGAGAGTATCTTCCTCTCATTAGATAAAGGAGGCTCAGAAAAGGTAACAGTTTAAACCTTTGTCTTACTAGGACTTTAAAGGCAAACATGATTGACGTGCAAATGAACACGGTGTTCAGCAGATGGCAGCAGTGAACCACTTAGTATCCAACAGTTTTTAGAGGCCAACAATCTTGAGTTTATTGTTTAATCACAAAATAGCTTTCTCTAAAAGAGTTCAGAATGCATCTGGATTGACCTTTAATCCTTAAGATCCATGAGTTTCCTCTTTGTTCAGTAGTTTTATGTATATGGTATGTGAAACAACAAAAACATTCATTCTATGCTTTGGAACAAGACGGTGTTTCTGATCTAAGGGGAAGACAAAGTCTGAGAAAGGACAGAGAACTGATGGCAAAAGTTGAGACCAGTGTGTTGAATTCTCCTGCAGTGATATTGGAGTTACCATTTTTGCTTTGAAGTTCTGTGAATTTTTTGTTTTGTATAAATTTTGGGCTTGTTTTGTTAGGTGTGTGCCTGTTCAGAATTTTTTTTTTTGGTGAATTGGACTTTACATCATCATTTAGTGATCTCTATCTCTAATTAGGTTTTTTGTTGTCAGACTTCTTTTTTCCCAAATATTAATACACCTTACCAGTTTTATTTGTATTTTTACCCTTCTTTTATATCAACCTTTTTGATATATAGCAAATAGTTTATTTTGTTAACATTTTCAATTTGTCTTTTTCTTTTGACTAGTGAGTTTAAGCTTTTAATTTTGCATTTATTGATATCCCTGGAATTTACTCTGCCATCTTATTGTTTTTATTTAAATTGTCCTTCCCCCCCACCCCCAAAGTAGTTTAAAATAGTATCTCTAACTTAACCCAAAGACCTTTAGCATATTCTCACTTTTCTTGGTCTCTACAACACTGCTTCTTTCAGTCCAGGTCAAGATAAGGAGCTTTCACTAGAATATGCCTAAACTGTGTCAGATAGTGACAAATTTAGTTCCACCCACTCTATTTTTTTTTTTTTTTTTTCTTTTTGAGACGGAGTTTCGCTCTTGTTACCCAGGCTGGAGTGCAATGGAGCGATCTCGGCTCACCGCAACCTCCGCCTCCTGGGTTCAGGCAATTCTCCTGCCTCAGCCTCCTGAGTAGCTGGGATTACAGTCATGCACCACCATGCCCAGCTAATTTTTTGTATTTTTAGTAGAGACGGGGTTTCACCATGTTGACCAGGATGGTCTCGATCTCTTGACCTCGTGATCCACCCGCCTCAGCCTCCCAAAGTGCTGGGATTACAGGCGTGAGCCACCGCGCCCGGCCATCCACTATTTATTTCTGCTGACATTGTTTTTATAGTAAGTCTTACTTTTTAAAAGAAACAGTGCCTTCCTGTTCCTTTCAGTCATTCTCTTACTCTGCAAGAACTTTATATAAATTAAACCATAAACATGTACTAGTTTATGTCTGGCTTTTTTTCATTAATATTATGTATTTGTGAGTTGTAGTTTCTTTATTCTTATTGTATCATATTCCTTTGTGTGAAGCTAACTACAACTTATCTTATTGTTCATGGGCATTTAGGTTGGTTCCAGTTTCTGGCTATTAGAGTATGCACTATTGTGAAGATTTTGATGTATGTTTTTATTGGTGAACATTTATTCATTTTTGTTGGGAAAATGTGTAGGAAAGAGATTCCTGGGTTATAGGCTATGCTGCTGTATAAAGATGCTGTCAGTTTTTCAAAGTGATTGTGCCTGTTTACACTCTTCATTGGCAATAAATGAACCGTCCAGAAATTTCACCTTCTTTTCTATACTTGGTGCTTTCCGCCTTTTTGCATTTTTGATATTCTGGAGGGGGTATAGTAGTATTGCATTGAGATTTTGTCTTATATTTTTTGATAACTACTCACAGAGCAACTTCACATATGTTTATTGGGCCATGTGTCTTCTGTTTGGTTGTTCGTATTTTTTCTTAATGATTTGAAAAAATTCTTGATATATTTGGATATAAATCTTTTATTTTTTGTCACTATGTAGATGTTTGTATGCCTGTGTGTATTTACATATTATATATGTAGATTATATTATCTACTGAGAGTTGCTTTAGAAATCTCCTAATAGTGTTTATTGATGATATAACTTACCTATTTTGATATTGTCCAACTATATAGGTTTTCCTTTTATTGTTACCAATTTTTAAAACTGTTTGTGAAGCCTTTTCACATCTTAATATCATGAATATATGTTTCAGTGTTTTACTCTAAAAGCGTAAAAGCTAGGTGCTGCTGTTACAGAAATGAAATCAGACATCATCTCCTTTCCAATGCCTCACAAAAGCAGCCATTCCTGATTCAAAGGCCAGTCTCTTGACCCCGAGTGCTCACTTTTGCAAGCTTTACTTAATGTCGTGTAAATCCCCCTATTCTCCAGGTCTTCTTTCCTTCTAGTTCTCCTTAGTATACACAACCTCTCAAGGCAATCACTTCCATGCCCATGGCTTCAGTTGCTTTCTCTATTCGCTGAGGATAATAGAGTTTTAAATTTAAAATATTAGCTTTATTTTATGTAGGGTCCCTCATTTGCTATAACCATAGATTCAAAGTTACTCCACGAAAGTAATAAAAAATGGTGATATACTTAGCATGTAAATTTTAGGAAATTTCCCCAGTTACTCTTAATGGTTTCATTTAGTATGTGTGTTATTTTTAAAAACGTATGTTGGGATGTCAGAAATGGACTTAGCCTACAGAGATTTATCTTCAACTTTGACCAGAGAGTTCCATTGTAATGTGACACTAAGCGTAAAAATCTGTCTTTTCCTCCTTACCTATTTCTCTTCCTACGTTTTCTGCGAAGAGAAAGGTACAACTCTGTACCCAGTCTTCCCCAGCAGAGCCCAAGCAGCCCTGTTTTTCCCTCTACTTCCCTGCTTTCACATCTCATGACCAAGTACTTCCTATTCTGTCTCCCCAATAATCACAAAATCTTTTTCCTCCACTTTTGTCACTGCCACTGCCTTTAGCATCAGTCTTCCTTTAGATAGTCTCTTAATTGGTCTGTTGCTTCCTTCAGTCCTTCCTTATTATACAGACCACTACACACACATCTGACAGAGACTCTCATCTTTGTATGGTTCAATGACTCAAATTTTCAGAATAAATTTAAAACCACCCCAGCGTCAAATTTGGGGTCAGATAGAGGTGAGTTTGTATCTCAGGTTCATATACTGTCCAGTAGTGTGATCTCAGAAAACTGAACTTCTTAAGCCTTGTGTATCTGCCTACTCTCATTGAGATTTGGGACTGTTTAATACATATGGTGTCTGGCATGTAGAAGGGACTTCATCAGTGTTGAATGAAGAGAAGGCATTTTAAAATTCACATTTAAAAACAAAACAAAACGTTTTTTTAAAAAATATGCCAGTCTATAATGTCACTCCCCCTCCAAGCTTGACTTCTACCTGTACTTTCTGATATGGTTTGGTCATGTCCCCACCCAAATCTCATCTTGAATTGTAATCCCCGTAATCCCCACATGTTGAGGGAAGGACTCAGTGGGAGATAATTGGATTGTGGGGGCAGTTTCCCCCATGCTGTTCTTGTGATAGTGAGTGAGTTCTCATGAGATCTGATGGTTTTATATGTGTTTGACCGTTGCTCCTTCACATGCCCACACTCTTTGGCCTGCCGCCATGTAAGAAGTAACTGCTTTCCCTTCTGCTATGATTGTAAGTTTCCTTAGGCCTCCACAGCCATGTGGAATGTGAGTCAATTAAACTTCTTTCCTTTATAAATTACCCAACCTCAGGTATTTCTTTATAGCAGTGTGAAAATGGAATAATGCACTTTCTGATAATCACGCTTGAGGAATTGGGGAATTCATAGTACCTGAGATCAAATAATGGCCCCAGCCTTGGCAGTCATGTGACCTTGGGGAGATAACATACCTTCTCCATCTCAATGTCGTCTCTAAAACTGGTGAGATTGTTTCTGAGGGTTAAATGAGCATAGCCGACTTGAAACACTGTCAGGCACATACTGCTTGCCAGATGTTCAGTCCCTGCCATGGAAGGAAGAAACAGGGGAGAAAAGGAAGTTGGTAAGTTTTAGCATTTTAGAGCTTGTGGGGACAAGTTAGGTTTCTATTTTGTGGAGAAGGAGGTGGAGGCAGATGGGTCCTAACCTGTCATTCAAGACACACAGCCATAACTCTTTTTTTTTTGAGACAGAGTCTTGCTCTGTCGCCAGGCACCAGGCTGGAGTGCAGTGGCGTGATCTCGGATTACTGCAACCTCCACCTCCTGGGTTCACGCAATTCTCTTGCCTCAGCCTCCCGAGTAGCTGGGACTACTGGCATGTGCCACCATGTCCAGCTAGCTAATTTTTTTGTATTTTTAGTAGAGACGGGGTTTCACCATGTTGGCCAGGATGGTCTCGATCTCTTGACATAGTGATCCCCCAGCCTCGCACTCCCGAAGTGCTGGGATTACAGTAGTGAGCCACCAGGCTTGGCCCACACAGCCATAACTCTTTAGTGAGAGTAAAGCTAGGGCCCCAGGGATTGCTGTGGTCAGGTTGCAGATAAAAACTACCACTCATTAGAAGACGGGAGAGGAGTATTTCATTACAAAAGCACTGAACAATTCAGGTGTATCTACATTGAGTCAACAAATAAAAGTTGAACTTGGTTGCCAATGGGACCCATTCTGCTAACTGAGACTTTGTATAGAACTCTTAGAGGAAGATGGCTTCCTGTAATGAACCACCCTGTTTTTAGGACTACAAATCTCAGGAAGCTGGTGGGTGATGAATGAAAACCTTAGTCCCACTGGCACTGCAGGAGGGCCAGGAGAGCAGTGGCATCATAAGCCACAGGGTGGGGCAGCCCAGGCAGTGGGGGAGGGGCGACAGCCATACTGGGGCATTGTGAGGTGTGGGGAGGGGCATTGTGAGTCAGACCTTGGCTTGGCTTCCACCTGGGCCAGTGGGCTTCAGTCTGTAGGTGACTGCAGAAGGAGCAGCAGCTCCTTTTGTACTCTCTTCAGGCAGTTGTTGTATCTCTCAGCGCTTGTTGGGTTCCCAACCTATTAAATTAGCCATCTGTTTTTGACCCTCCCAGACAAGTCAACTCAGGAGAGGCGGCAGGGTGCGGGCCTTGGCCCGAGCCCCGGCTGGGGCCGGGCTGTGGGGTGGGCAGGCGAGCCGCAGGCAGGACCATCTCTGAAAGTGCGGCATAGCCTCGGCCTAGGGCAGCAGGAGTGCCTGGCCAACACTGTGAGCGGAGGTACAGGTGGCAGCAGACAGGAGTAGAGGTGCCCAATGGGGAGCATACTGAGCTGCTGTGTGTGCCCCAAGTTCTGCCAAGAGTTGGACCTGGATGAGGGGTCAGGGCGTCCTCCAGAATCTGAAATCTGTGAGGCAGCAGGTGAGGACACGACAGCAGCTGAGGACGCGACAGCAGCTGAGGACACCGCAGCACCTGAGGACGCGGCAGCAGCTGAGGACGCGGCAGCACCTGAGGACGCGGCAGCACCTGAGGACACCACAGCAGCAGTGCCCACGGCTGCTGCCGTAGAAACTGCCGAGTTGACTGTTGAAGCTGGTGAGGGCCATCCTGTGCACGACATCTGTGATGGGGAGATGCCTGAAGGTAAGGAGGTGATGGTACCATCTGCCCTGGCCACCCCTCTGGCTGCTACTGTCTTCAAGGTCCCCTGGGGGGCATCCCCTACCTCAGGCTCCTTTTTGCCTGCAGCCAGTTTTTCCCAGGGCTGGTCAGAAACAAAGGCTGGCTCTGCCTTGTGTTCCTTTTTCCACTGCTTAGTCTTTCTCCACAGAGTCCAGTCAATTTCTTTTCTCCTTCCAAACACCCAGTTCTTGCTCGCTCATCTCATTCTCTCAGGCTGGCCTGAGACCATTTATTTATGTCTCTTCTTGTCTGCAGCTCTGTTTATTATTCTGTGGGATTTTGTTGAGGCTTTTTTTGGAATATTCTCTTCCTTTTTTCACTAAAAACTCAAATACCCCAACTTTCCAGTACCCATCTCATTCTTCTTTCGTACCTATCCAGATGGTACCTAAGTGAAGGAACCAGGTAAGTGCTTAGTTACTTCCTTCGTTAAAGTAGCTAAATCTCAGGACAATTCATACTGAAGTATTTGGGGATTTCTTCTTTGAAATCAGAATGAAGTTTGCCGTGGGAGAGATGATAGGATATTCTTGATGGGTTGCTTTAAGTCACCTTGATAGGTGCTTATTGTTTTCTAACTGTAATTTGAACACAAAAGGAAAGAAAACGAGAGGGTGCTTAAAGTAATTGTGAAAGGTGTGAAATGTCATGGCCAGGGCTGCAGGAAAATGGGTGTTTGTTTTCCCCCAAAGGAATTTACCTCTGAGGCTCTGATGACTTTAAATTTCTTACCTTAACACCAAATGTGTCTCCAGATTTATTCAGGTGAATTAACAGACTTTATTTACCTCCCTGTTCTAAAAGAGAGGTAGGGATGGTTCGTGGTCAAAACTTTCAAAAGACATGAAATGTCAACGTAGACTTTTAAAGTGTGACATAAAGATTGAAGGTTAAAACTGTGGAGAGTGTTTGTTGCCATGGCTCTTCCTTTGTCCTTCCCCCGCCTGACAATAGCATCTTGTTCAAAGATAAGAAAGTAAAGCATAAGAAGCTGGAAGCCATCATTCTCAGCAAACTAACACAGGAACAAAAACCAGCCCCACATATTCTCTCTCAAAGTGGTAGTTGAATAATGAGAACACATGGACACAGAGAGGGGAACGTCACACACTGGGGGATTCATTGTGGGGTGGGGTGTAAGGGGACGGAGAACATTAGGACAAACACCTAATGCATGTGGGGTTTAAAACCTCGATGATGCGTTTATAAGTACAGCAAACCACCAGGGCACATGTATATGTATGTAACAAAGCTGCACGTTCTGCACATGTATCTCAGAACTTAAAGTAAAAAAAAACAAAACAACAAAAAAAAACAACTTTGGTTGGGCTCTTAGTTTTTTTCAGAGGTAGAATAATTAAGACTCATCAATGTGACTTTGTAACTTGGAGTACTATACTCACTTTTCAAGATGTTTAAGAATTTTGAATAAACAAATATATTATGTGAATTCATTATACCTTTATACACAAAATGTGTAAGTACTTGTGTAAACTTATACTCTGGTTGCTGGTGTAAGGAAAGCCTGTGAGTGATTTTACACACCAATTCATAGATGGGTGGTGTTGGATTAGAGAACAACAAAGGCTCTTTATTGTTATTCTTTAGGATTGCAATACAGTTTATGCATGTCTCTTTTGGCCCCTTCCAATACAAAGAAGGCTTGTGTATGTTCTCCATATGTGTTGCTAATGAAGAAATGAAGACAGAGATCTCACATGACTATGGAAGACAGCTGCACAACAGAACTAAGGTTCTGTGTCTTCAGAATGAAATGGAAGTGACAAATATGCTGAATTTACTTTTTTTTTTTTTTTAAATAAAAAAGAGTCTCACTATGTTAACTCATCCTGGCCTAAATTCCTGACTTGGGTTCAAGGGATTTTCTTATCTCATTCTCCTGAGTAGCTGGGAGTACAGGCATGTGCCACCTTGTCTGGCTTCGTCTTATGTCTATACATTCATTTCAATGGATAAGAATAAAAGTAGAGGTATTAAAATGGCCTCCTTGTAGAATAAATGAGTTGATAAATTGTTGTAATGATGACATCTTTTTTCTTTTCTCTCTGTATAGATAGGGCTTTGGAGTCTGACCCTTCTGATCATCCAGAAGCTAAGAAATCTCAAGGAGATGGTGAGACAACATTGTTTTTTTCCACAAAGAAAAAGAGTGAAAACTCTTGTTTGATGAGGTGTATAATACAAAGTGTTTAGCAAAACTCATTCGTTTAAATTTTTAAAATTTTCACATATTCACTTGTGTTATTTTAACACGTGATATACTTTCCTTTGGTTGTTATCATGCTAGTGAAAACATGTCAACTTTTTGTTTACACAGTTTCCCATCTTTTTATCAACACAATTTGTCATGTAATGGAGGAGTCTTAGATTTATCTTTATGTTTAATTCTTTGTCCCTCTTCCCAATGGATAAGAATAAAAGTAGAGGTAGTGAAATGGCTTCCTTGTCGAATAAATGAGTTGATAAATTGTTATAAGTGATTACATATTTTTTCTTTCTCTCTGTATAGATGTGGCATTAGAGTCCAGCCCTTCTGAAGCAAGGACATCCCAAACAGATAGTGAGACAACATTGTTTTTTCCGCCAAGAAAAAGAGTGAAAAATCTTGTTTGATCAGATGTATTATAAAAAGTATTTAGAAAAACTCATATTATCCGACACAGTGGGAGGTCTCTTTCCCCTCCTGGATTTCCCCTCTGGGGTCCCGCTTCCACACACTCTCTCTTGTGGAAGTTTTCTCTCTCCTCTGTTTCTCTCCCTCTCTCTAAATATATCACTTCTCTGCACATAAACAAACAAAAAGAAAAACTCATATTGGTTTAATACCAGAATGAGAATTTGCTTCTTACCATGGGAATGGCACCAAGCCATTCATAAGGAATGCTCCTATTACCCAAACACTTCTTACTCGGCCCTATCCTCGGCATTAAGGGTCCCATTTTAACATGAGATTTGGAGAGGGAGGCATATTCAAACCATATCAGAGGTGTATTTCCCAGTTCCTTCCAGAGACATGGGCTTCTCACACCTGGAGAGCATGAAAGCAGAAAAAAGAAAAGCGATTCCATGCCTCTCACACTTCAGTGATAGGAATGTTTGCCTACAAGGCCGTTCCAGCATTAAAGGTGGAGGCAGTGTAGGAAACAAAGCATGGCCCAAGTCCATCTTGGAGCTTTTATTATTCTGGCTTTTTTTTTGCTGCAGACACCATATCCAAATTAGGTTTGTCTACTTATTTTAAGACGTAAATTTGGCTGGGTGCAGTGGCTCATGCCTGTAATCCCAGCACTTTGGGAGGCGGAGGTGAGTGGATCATGAGGTCAGGAGTTCGAGACCAGCCTGTACAAAATGCTGAAACCCCGTCTCTACTAAAACAAAAACTAGCCAGGCATGGTGGGGTGCACCTCTAATCCCAGTTACTCAGAGGCTGAGGCAGGAGAATTGTTTGAACCCTGAAGGCAGAGGTTGCAGTAAGCCAAGGTCACACCATTGCACTCCAGCCTGGGTGACAGAAGAACAAACAAACAAAAGATTAAATTTAAGATAGGTTACTTTTCAGTTGTGTAAAGACCCTGTTTTTGTTTGTTTTGTTTGTAGCAACATATTAGTAGATGACCACCGATTGTGGTTGGAGAGGCTTACAGGGATTCTGGTGCATCTAGAGATAAGTGCCTGGCCAGGAAGTAGTTCTTAGAGCTGTAAGCTCTTAGATTCCGGTAATTAAGCTACGTGTAAATGCAGAATGGGAGAATACTAACGGATCATGGCTCATATATGCAACCATTAAATTTTTTAATTAGCAGAATTTTTCATCTGGCCTAATTTTTGTGCCCTTTTGTACATGAGTATTCTTTCACTCGTATGTATGAAAACAGAAAGCAAACTAGGTCAAAAAGTAAATCTATGTTATTACATTTTACTTTATGAGATTTTTCATGCCAGAGAGTTTAAATTATAAATTGTTGAAATTAATTTTCTTAAATGGAATTTTCTCTGATTGTACATAGGAGTAGTCAGTAAGATGTTAACAACTACTTTTATTTTATATTATTTGTGTCAGAAGTGACCTTTTTTTTTTTCTTTCATTCTTAGCAGAAGAAATAGGAGAAAACAGCAGTACAAACCATGTAAGTAAACAGTCAAAAAGTTGAGAAATTGATAGTTTGATATAAAAGTATATCTCTCTTCATTCCTTTAAATTATAATAGGGACCCAGTGGTGACAGCATGGACCTCGTTTCGTGGATTTTTGAATCTCTTCTACCTTCCTATCAAATTTATCCCAAAAAGTCTTCAGCTTAGTGTGCCCACCTTTTAAGGATTGCTGACACTCAAGTTAAATTTCAATAGTTGGTTGTGGTATAAAGATCTGCTTTAAATATTTAATCTTATTTTTAATGAAATAACAAAAATAGAAGAGCTAAGTTAATTGTCAGTATGGTCTTTGTAGCACACTTTTTAATTCAGTCAGTAATATTGACATGATTATGACTATTCTGCACTTCTTCTGGATCATTTTTTTTTCCTAGCCTATGCTGGTTTATCCAGCCAAATGCAGTAAGTAGCCTCTGGATGGCCTGTCACTTTATTGAAAAATAATAATTATTGTTAAGTTATATTTTACATCTAATTTACATTTTATATCCATTATTTTTTAGCACGAAGCTAATTTTCTGACTGTATTCATTTGCCTGTTTTCTAACAGCTGATCCCCGTCCCCTCCACCCGCCAAGTGTTATAGCATTTATCATGTGCCTTTCACAGATATTTTCCGTCTGATAAAACATATCTGTTGCTCTTTGTTTTTGGCGGGTGGTGGGCAGCTTTCTTTGGCCTTTTGTCATCCTAGTTCAGTATAGAGAGGCTTTCCCTAGATATGCTTGATGTCTTAGTCTATCTGTGCTATCTCTTTAAAGTCTTTTGGGATCTCACATAACTGCCGCCTTGTGTGGGATCGCCTGAGTCCTAGATTCTGTGTTTCCATCTGGCCTGTTATCTTCTCTAGTTGTACTTATGCACACTCCTGGGCAGAGATGTTTAGAGATCTGACCAGGCTTAAAATTCTTCTTCCTTGTTAGAGAGTAAACTTCTAGGTTGAATCTAAATTTTATGGTTCTGAAGATAGTCTGCAATTGTGCTCTCATCACAGTGTTGTTCTTGAATCTATTGCCATTGTGTGACACGTTATTTATAACCGCGTTTTATGTATTTTTGGAAGCTTTTTCAGAGCTTTTCTGTCTCTGAGATTCTGAAATTTCATAATAACAGCGTGGCAGGCGATCTTTTCATTTTATTGAGGCTACTAAGTCTGCAGACTCTCTGTTTTTGAGAATGTTTTTTATTTTCTCTGTTACTTTTTTCTGATAGTCGTGTTAATCAGTCGCTAGTCTGCTTAGACCAGTAGACCTGCTATGGTTTCCAATTTTTCCCCTTCAGTTTTTTTCAGTTTGTCTTTTTATTCTACATCTGGGATATGCTATGAGTTTATCCTCTACTATATCTATTGAATATTATATATTTTTAGAGTGTTTTAACATTTTTTTAAAAGTTTTGCTCCTGATTTTGACTGGTCCCATGAATTTTGTGTGTGTTGTTTCATTCTCTCTTGTTGGAGGCTTTTCTCCATTGTGTGGTGGTCTCTGGCTTGCTTGCTTGATTTGGAAGCACGACTTCTGTTAACTGATGGCACTCAGTGTGAGGTTGTGGAAGCAACTAGCTTTTCATTGGGAGACCTCAGTGTATTATCTGGGGATCTTTATTCGAGACAGTTTAGTTTCTTGAGAATGTTCTCCCAAGTTTCTGCCTGGCTACTTGCTTTCCAAAAGCAGAGTTAGGGAAGAAATTTGGAGTTCCATTTTTGGTGTATAGTTTTCTTTATATCTCAGGTTTAATCTATGGTAGTTGGGAGCCAGAAATTCTCAGGTTTGGTATATCCAGGGAACACACATCTAAGTTTCTGATCAGATGGGAGAACAGGTGGACGTGAGTCTCTAACCACAGATTTTCAACTGACCTTGGTGGCTTTGTTTTACATTTTGCACTACTTTTCAAGGTGCTATTTGCCTCTAAGTTCACAGCTCGCCTTTAGTTCTGCAAGACAAAGGGCTCGCTTCTGTTGCAGTCACTTTCTCTTTTTTTTTTTTTTTGAGACAGAGTCTTGTCACCTGGGCTGGAGTGCAATGGTGAGATCTCAGCTCACTGCAACCTCCGCCTCCTGGGTTCAAGCAATTCTTTGCCTCAGCCTCCTGAGTAGCTGGGATTACAGGCACCTGCCATCACAGCCAGCTGATTTTTGTATTTTTAGTAGAGATGGGGTTTCCCCATCTTGGCCAGGCTCGTCCTGAACTCCTTGGCCTCCCAAAGTGGTAGGATTATAGGTGTGAACCTCCTCACCCGGCCTCCAGTCACTTTCTTAGGCATCATAGTTGTGCTTCTGTGTTATTTACCACTCCTTTACCTACTTTTTATGTTTCAGCATTTATTAAAAATTATCTCTTTTGAACCTTCTCTCCTGGTGCTGTGCGTAACCTTTATTTTGTGACTAATGAGATGCCTAGAGGGAGAGGAAATAAATTTGTGATCGATCTATTACATTTAATCCAAATTTAGGACCTATATTTAAATGCAAATCAAAGCTTAATTTCTTTTTTTTTTTTTTTTTTTTTTT